ATATTTATATATATATATATATATATATATATAAAAATAAAAAATATATAAATATATATATATATATTTCTCTCTTTCTCTCTCTCTCTCTCTCTATAAATATATAATATATATATATATATATATATCTATCTCTCTCTCTCTCTCTCTCGCGCGCGCGTGTGTATTTTTTTTTATTTTTATATACAAAAAAAAAAAAAATATATATATATATATATATATATATATATATATATATATATATATATATATATATATATATATATATATATATATATATATATATATATATATATATATATATATATATATGTATGTTTTTCCCTATAACAGTCAATAGCTACATGTTTATCATAATTTTTTTTGTGTTTAACACAATAAAAATTAGAAGACTGGTTCGCAACCACTAAAGGGAGAGTAAATGATGTCAGAATTGTAATTTTTAACTATCCATTCAATATCTATAGCGTAATTGAATGCAAATAAATCCTACTTTCCTATTTAATAGTGCTTTTATAATGACTATTTATTTGCAGTTTAATTGAAATGCGGAAAGATTACTTTAAGAGCGGTGCATGTCTAAAATCCTCAGCTCATGTGTGTTTTACTTGATATTTGCATTAATATTAAATGCATAGTTCACCTGAAAAAGAAAATTCTGTCATAATTATGTCAGCCACCCTTGTCTTGTTGTGTATAACCCTTGTTATTTTTGTTGAAAACAAAAGAAGATATTTTGAAGAATGCTGGTAACCTGTAACCATTGACTTCCGTAGTATTTGTTTCTCCTAAGACGCTCAATGGTTACATGTTTCCAACATTTTCATCATATATTATTTTGTGTTTAACACAATAAAAACAAAAGACTGGTTTGCCACTACTTAAGGGAGTAAATGGTGTCAGAGTTGTAATATTTAACTATCTCCTCAATATCTATAGCCTATTTTAATGCAAATAAATCCAACTGACCTATTTAATAATGCTTTTATAATGACTATTTATTTGCAATTCAATCCAAATGTGGAAAGATTACTTTAAGAGTGGTGCATATCCAAAGTCCTCTGTTCATGTGTGTTTTACTTAAGAATCAAAATTGATATATGCATTAATGTTAAGTGCATATTTATGCATTTAATTTAATGAATATGCATCACCTGAAAAAGAAAATTCTGTCGTAATTCCACCACCCTTGTCTTATTGTGCATAACACTTATTTGTGTTGAACACAAAAGAAGATATTTCGAAGAATGCTGGAAACCTGTAACCATTGACCTCCAATGTGTTTATTTTTCCTATGAATGCCAATAGTTACACGTTTCCAAAACTTTCCTCGTATTCTTTTGTGTTGAACAAAATAAAAATAAAGACTGCTTTGCAACCACTTAAGGGAGAGTAAATGCTGCCAGAATTGTAATGTTATACAATCTCTTTAACATGTATAGCATATTTTAATGCAAAGAAATCCTACTGTATTGTAAACACTTGTTTACAGCACTGCTAATGTTGTTGCACACCCTTCATACTGACAGCAATGCTGAAACAAAGACTGCTGGATATTATAATAACATCAAATAACACTTTACCCTATTGTCTATGCATTAACATAATTACAGTTGCTGGATTATCCTAAGTGTTTCCCAACCAATCAAATAAAGCATTGCTTAATCTATAAAACCGAAAAGCACGGCTAAAAATGAATGCATTTGTTTGGTTTTCACATCTTTGAATAAATATCATGCAATATTATGATGACAATGGCTTATTTTAGGCGGCATCTGGTATTGGTGAAAGTGCTGTGGAGGTGCATGAGAAGTGTTTGCGAAACGCTGCCCTTGTCCACCCACAGTGGGCTCACACGGACTAGTTTGGGCTTGCAGAAATCTGCTTTGCATTGTCAAGAGAAGGATGAGAAATACGGAAAGGTTTCGGCTGTGGGAAAGAAAGATGACTGTGGGAAAGTCTGGAGTAATCATCACTGTAGAGCACCCTTGAGGAGCAGCTTTAAAATTTCACACTTGGCTTATATTCTCCGATGTGGACAGAGGGCTGACTTGTTAAAAGTTGTGTAATTAGCTATCTTGCTTTAGGAAATGCTGAAGTTTAAGAGTTGTGTTTTCTTGTGCATTAATTAGAGAAGGATTTCTGCATAAATTAGGATGAAGTAAACATCGGCACCCTAGGGATTCATATTCCTGTGCATGGTGGCATTTTTGGATTTGTTTTTTTTTTCCATGCAGCTAGGCTTGCGCAATGTATTGTTTCAGCATCAATATCACAATGTGTGAATCTGCTGAGTGAGATCTGCAATGTCAAGTTAGGATTATAAAAAGACAGAAAGCACAGTTCTGAACTTATGAAATGTTTGACCGTAATATTGATAGAGTTATCTATTGTTCTGTAGTGTGTGGCTGTGTAGGAGAAATGATAAAATGTTTAGCATTAACTAAGATGAATTATATTGAATTATTTCTACAATGAAGATTACAGGCAATGGAAATCTGCTTCTGCAAATGAATAAAAAAAAACAATAAAAAGATTATTCTGACTCTTTATCTCAGAGTTGAGTGATATGAACTCACAATTCTGGCTTTTTTATTCAGGTTTGTGAGATGTAAACTTGAAATTGTGAGTGAAATCATAATTGTGAGATATAAACTTCTGAATTGTAAAGTCAGAATTCTGAGAAATAAAATCTCAAATGCTTGATTTAAAGTCAGAATTCATGGAAATAGTCGCAATTGCAACATATAAAGTGAGAATTCTGACTTCATATAGCAATTTTGAGAAATATAATCACAATTGCAATGACATAAAGTCAAAAATCAGACAAATAAAGTCACAATTGTGATGTAAACTCACTATTGCAATGAAATACACCCAGAAATGAGAGAAATAAAGTCGCAATTGTGATGTAAACTCACTATTGCAATGAAATACACCCAGAAATGAGAGAAATAAAGTCGCAATTGTGATGTAAACTCACTATTGCAATGAAATACATATAGAAATCAGGGAAATAAAGTCACAATTGTGATGTAAACTCACTATTGCAATGAAAT